TGTGCCCTATATCCACCTCCTCATAGAATTGTATGAACAGATATGAGTTAAGGGTACATCCTTTAATGTGGCTGATAATTTTAATCACATCCTGCAAAATGTTGTTTAGGTCAGGGTAGCCAGCATTTCTCTATGGAACAGGGAGATGCACCTTCCTTGATGCCAGGAACCAATCAAGGAGTGCATGAGATGGGCTCCTCCCAGGCAGGGAAGCAAAGGGAAGGCGGCCCAGAGGTTCTCTCTCAGCCACGTGTGTCTTGGCTCCAGCAAAAGTCTGGCTTCTTGTAGGACAAAAAGTTTGCTATTTGTATATTTAAAGAAATTGTTTTAAAAAGAGCTCTATGGTCAAAAATTAGCTAAATTAAAAGCTGACATTCTTCTTTGTTCTCATTATTATCCTATTTCTCCCACAGAAACTTCTCACTAGACTCGACTTTTTTTTTTTTCTTTTCCTTGAACCCCCGATACCTAGAATTTCATTGGCCTTTGGAAAGCTTAAAATCTCCCCCAATGGACTTCTCTAAAAATTATTTTTTATTTACTGCTACTCCTCCTTTGTACCACTTTCAACACCACATGAAGAGATCTAGAGGGGACTTCTAGAGGCCCCAGGGCCTTGAGAAACAGAAAAAGATGCCACACTGCCACTTTTTGTGGTCTTCTGTCTTCCTCATAAGCACTAAGAGTCATGTGCAAGATTCTCTCAGATCTGAAGCTCTGCTCTCTTCTGCGATGAGTTTCCTGATCTCTTTGGCTTTCAGAGGTATCAAGAGTTTCTTTGTAATGTCAGAACACTGGACCTTTGGGTGTGCAATGGCTGGCAACTCACTGGCCAGGGCTGCAGTTCTGGAGGTGGCTGACAGTGGCTGCAGGGAATGGCCAGTACTTCAGGGAACTACTCCTTTCTTTGCATATTAAGAGAAGTGTAGTTTTTTGTGAGGCACACTGGCCCACTTCTGTAATCTCAACATGGTGGGAGGCTGATATGGGAGGATCACTTGGGACCAGAAGTTTGAGACCAGTCTGGGCAAAAAGTGAGACCCGTCTCTACAAAAAGTATAAAAATAAACCAAGTGTGAAGGTACATGCCCTATAGTCCTAGCTACTGTGGAGGCTGAGACAAGAGGATTATTGAGCTGGGGAGTTGGATGTTCATGCCACTGCACTCTAGCCTGGGCGACAGAGCAATACTCTGTTTCTAAAAAACAAATATTAAAAAAAGTAACTAACTAACTAAATAAAAGAGACACATATTTTGGACACCTTGAGGCTGTGGAAATACTTGCCACTGAGTATTACAACTCCCATGGGATGATGGGGAAATTACAGAATGAGCTGGTCAGTGTTGGATGACTCACAAACACCAAGGAAATGTCCTTGCAGCAAAGTGCACTGTGGAAGCATTGCATGCCTCAGCCTTGTGGCGTTTGCCTCTTGGGCTTATGCCTCAGCTCTGTGGGACGTGGGATTCAGTGTAAAAATGGAATCCCTGATATCTCGGAATCTAGGTGTTCTGCTTTCCAGCTGCACCTGCTTTTCACATATATAAGTATTAGGCCCTGGAAACTGCAAATACTTTGTTGGCCCTATTTGTGGATCAGCTCTACCAGTGATCCAGTTGGAAAATGAAGACTAAATTGGAAACCACCTATTTGACTAAACTTAGTCTTCTTATAAAATCCTGTGATGAATTCTTATAATTTTCTGTTACCTGGGAATCCATTTTTAATCTTACTCTAACACACCAAACTCCTTCTTGAAAAAGCTTAAATTTTCTCTCTGTCTTTTGAGATATAAATTTGCTATCTTATTTTCTTTTAGCTTCAGCCATGTGGGACAAATAACCTTTAACTTGTTCTATTTACAGAGGCACAGTTTACTCCAACTATCCTTTTGAACTAGTGAGTTTTATTAAACCTGTCTCATAGCTAAAATTTTATAATCAAGCTATAAAATCTTTACTTATGTTTGTATTTTATATATACATGTGTACATATTTGTGTTTGTATATTGTCTACATGTTACCAAATTGATTTATAAATGAATGGGTACTATTACATAATTAGCCAAAATGCTTTTCTAGTTCATATGGCATTGTAATTTTTGTTAAATGAAACTAGTTTTAAAATAAAATAGAAATATCTTCAGAATTTTAGACATTTTTGCCTCAGTTTACTGGTCAGACTGATTTATACTGTCACTGTCAGATGTTTTAAGGCCCTAAAACTATTGCTTTTGTGATATTTTTGATACATGCTTAATTTGTAAGATTATGTCTTTGATTTTGAGCCTTTAGATAACAGGTTCTAGACAAGGGGCCATGGCAAAGCCTGGGAACATATGTGTGTCTAGAGGAGTGCTTGTTCCACCAATCGCAGGGCTGAACAAAGCTCATATGGTCTCATTCTCCCTGGCTCAGCTCTGCCCCTGACCATGCTGGAGGGTCAGATCCCCTGGGCATCATCTTCACAGCTTTATCCTCTATCCTGGGCTCTGTACCTGGTATATAACAATTAAAATCGCTTATTTCTTAGGTTTTTCCATGGTAAATTAGGGTTACCATGAATTAAATATTATAATTATTATATGTTATTAAAACTATCAGATACAAGAGAAACAATTCTGTGTTCAGAGTATATAAAGAAGATAGAATGTGTTCTTGGTAGGGAAGGTTATGAAGTCGACAGGAAGCTTTTTTGTTAAAAGAAAAGTAATTTTGTCTAGTTTTCAGGTTATTTAAAGGTTGTTTCAAATTGAAGGAATAAAGAGTCATATAGATAAATCAATATATATATAAAAAGTTGAGGAAAGAAATAAAATAGAAAAAAATTGTAAGAAGTTATAAAAGGCTTATGGAAATCTTATCTTGTGTGTTCGAAGCTGATTGAGATTGATGGATCAGTTTATAAAGCTGTTATTAAAATTAGCTTTAGTATAATACACTAATAAAAAAGTAAAATTTGGTTTTGTCTTTTAAACAATATTTTTGTGTTAGTATTAATAGTATTAATGGATATAATAAAATGCTTTGTTCACCTTTTGAGTATCTCCAAAAATAAGGGAGAGAGATTCTAGATTCTGTGTCCCTCATGCTGTCTTTATTAGGTATGTTTCTATGGATATGTGATTAATATATATTCCAAAGTTGTATGAGATTTCTAAAAATCTGAAATGTCTTTGTATATATTAATATTATCAGTTATAATTATGACTATTATGTAAAATTTTTGTAGACTACAGAAAATAGCAAAATTTCTTTGTCAATTGTGTCTTTAACCATGACCATTTTAAATCGTATTGCTTACAGTAAATTGCATTATTCTGATGCCCTTTTTTCCCTAAAAGCTCTTTGTGACTCCTAAGGGGTTGTATATTTAAGGAAGAAGTTCATGGAAAGGGTGACAACAAGCATTCGTAAATATAGGTTTCTGACAACTTTGAGATTATCCTCAAAGTTGAGTCTGACTCAACTGGTTAACACTGGGTAAGAATTCAACTGGCTAAGAATTTAAATAAATACAAGGGAGGGGAGGAAACTGGACTCATAAAATTGTTAACCTAACATCAAGCAGACAAGAATTAATTACATAGGACTTAACTGATAAAATATTAAAATACTTTTTAATGAGTTATTTTGTTTTGAAATATTGCTGGTACTTTTCATGTTTTATTTTCCAGTGTCAATAAAACATTTTTTAAGTTATTTATAGCTTACAAAAATTGGTTAAACTATACTTTTGTGAGCAAAACGGAAACATTTACCTTTCTTTCTACTTGATTCCTCCAGAATTCAAAAACAATGTGTGGGTATTTTTACTTTACAGCAATACAGTTATTTGCATAAATTTAATAAGAATTTCTTTTCTTTTGTAATGGGACACAATTGGAGCCACTGCTTATTTAACCAAGGCTTTGACTAGAATGCCATGTTTTCAAATGTAACCAGACTGCTTTGAGGGATTGAGGTTGATTTTAAAAGCTAATAGACTTAGAAAAAGATTGGGCTGATACCTTGTCTATATGGTCCCCTCACAGGGTTCCTGACCTTGTTGTAAGTAGACAGTGCACTTTCTGACAGGTCTAGAAACCTCAAGATATTTGCGGGACCTTGAAAAGGGAGCAATTCATTTTATATATACAAATATAGTATGCATATAATAGATACAGTCTTTGGCTTTTTTCCTAAGCCTTGTAAGTTTTTAAAGTCTAATCCAAAATATCTTATAAAAAAGTTCGAGCAAAGCAAACTTACAAATAGCCTATGTGGCCAATCACAATTCTTGCTGTACTTTACGCAAATAATCAAGCCAAGTATATGTATTTTTTAAAACCCCTAAAACAGTTTATTTTGCAAATAATTTGTTCTTACTATAATTTATCCTTGGTAGAAATGGGGACTAGAGAGGAAAAAAAAATTATGTTTCAAAAAAATCCAAAACAAAACAAAACCAAAAAACTACAGTATACCCATTATTAGATTTTAGCTGATATTTTTTTTGGAGATTTTATTATTTACCTACAATCTAGACTAAATTCTAAATTTTTACTTTCTTCCAATATTTGACTGTGACTCTCCAGATTAACATTTCAAATTTTTCTCCCACCCCTCTGATATGGAATCACTGTGAGAAATAAAAATAAAATCCTAAGCCCTGAACCAACTAAATAGACCCCCTCTTGGCCAAGGGTATTCCAGAAAAACTTTAAACCAAGTTCCTGGCCATGATGGGCTAGGAGGTCAGACATACCTTGTTATACTCCTCCTTTATTAACTGCTTTTAGACTTTTTCCCTATGGATTAATCAGAACTTATTGGCCATTTGTAAGTCTTCTTTTGAAAAATGTCTATTCAGGTCCTTTGCCCATTTTTAAAATCGGGTTATATGTTTTCATGATTTCTACAAACCAACTTATCTTTACCCTCAAATATCCATCTCCTTTTCACTAGCCACATAGAAAAAGGTTTCATAATTATTTGACCACACCGTGCCATTTCCTACCTTATTGTTTTCAAACATGCTCTTCCCTCTGCACAAGGTATTGCATCCCTTCCTTCACTCTTGAGATATTCCTTGGTCTTCATTCAATACTAAGACAAAGATTCAATGCAATAGATGTTCTCCAGGAGGCAGCAGCATGTCTCCTGAGTTCCCACCTCAGTTCTTCCTTTCTTCACTCATCAATGAGTACAAGCCTCAAGTAATAAGATCAAATAAAATGCATGTGTTATTATAACTTGTACACTTGTAATTATTTTATTACATTCACTTATGTATTCTTTGATTTGTTTATTCATAAATATTTATTGAGCACCTTATACATGCTAGACATCATAGAAGGCACTAGTGACATACTGCATAAATAAATATAGATCATTCTATCCTGGAGCTTAAAGCATAATTCCCCAATGTAGTAACTCTCATCTTCCATGTTTACAATCACACTGCTTGAGGTATGAGATGCCAATAAATATTTGAAGGAAGAACAGAAGAATGAACTGAGAAAAAGAAAGAAGGAAGGGGAAAGAGAGAGAAAGGAAGAAGTAGGAGAAACAGGAAGGATAAAGTCAGGAAGTGTGGAAGAGACAGAGGAATAAAAAGGAATGAGTTCCCTGCATCCCAAGTTCTCCCAACCAAAACCAGGGCTAGACCTGGTCCTAAGGAAAGGGGAATAAACAAGTTTCTGTAGAGTATGCATAGCTGCCATCTTGACAAAAAATTCATTTTTATTTCATGTAGAATATCAAAGACCCAGTGAGGCAGCATTTCGCTAACGTTCCCACTGAATTATTCTATTAGCAAAGGGGAGGGAAGGGGAATCTCCAGAGGCTCTCCACCAACTAGAAGAGTGAAATTTCTTTTTAAGTCTCTGGATTTATTTTAAAAATTCATGCAAATTTTGTATTCTACTTATAATATCGCTGTGTTAGTTTAAACATAAAAAAGCATTAGTTTTCTCTCACATTTGTTAGTAAAATTTATGCTCTAGGAAATCACATCTGTAGTTTCTGTACAGTTGCTCATGTCTCCTGGTGCACCACCACCTACTCTGCAGTGACAAACATATACCAGCTTGCCAGGCAGTTAGATGCAGAACAGTGTGGGTAATATGGTCTCTGAACATGACACCCACCAAGACTGTGACTGGAGACAGTGAATGGGGCTCCTTGCCACTAACCTCATACCAGAAACAAATGTCCACACTAGGAATCATCTGCTCTTACTTGATATTCTGAAGTCCTTCAAGCATTTTAAAACAGCAATTACTATTTAAGAAGTTCCATTTTAGCTGTTTCTAAATCAGTTAATAATATGTATTTTCCTTTTAATATCCTTCTGAGTAGACTAAAGTGCCTCTCATATAATTTTATTAATCTGCACAACATTTCCTTTTCAAAGATGGGCTTTTTCATCACTTAAAGTACCCTATTTTATGCCAAGTTAAAATCTAATATCAAGTTTTCTCTAACTTAAGTAATAGCAATGTTTGTAATTGAATGGCAGAATTTGAGCTTTAAATCTGGGTATTTTGCTATTACATTAATACAATAAAATGATATAAAATGATTGGACCTGTAAAGTTTTAGCTCATGGGTATATATATAGTTGCCTCTGTGTATCTGTGGGGGATTGGTTCCAAGATGATCAAGTCTCTGATATAAAATGGTATAGTGTTTGGATATAACCTACATACAACTTACCACATACTTTAAATCATCTCTAGATTACTTATAATACATAATATAATTAAACACTATGCAAATAGTTGCTATACTGTATTTTTTATGGAATAATGACAAGGAAAAAAGTCTGTACATATTCAGTACAGATGAAATTTTTTTCAAATATTTTTGACCCAAGATTGATTGAGTTCACAGATGCAGAGGCCATGGATGCAAAGGGTTATACTGTATATATGCATGTGTGTGTGTGTGTGTGTGTATATATATATATATGTACATATGTATATCTATGTATATATGTATGTGTGTTTATATGTATATATGTGTGTTTATATATATTGATCTTTGAAAAAATGTATGTAAATATTTATAATGGAAGAATTCTCATTTATTAGGAATGACCAGTTCTTAGTGTAATAGCTCATATAGATGTTTCTAAAAGTGTAAGCATGAGAGCATGTATACATATAAATAATATTTCAATTGATTGTAATGTGTACAGAGGTAATATTAATATTTTGCTGAACTGAATTTCTTATATACCTAAGAATCAAATACAAACCCTTCTTTCTATGTGTTTACTAGAAAAATTCCTGAAATATTAGAGAAGAGTTTTCCAAAAGACATCTGGAATCATTATTTTCCATTATTCAAATAACTCTTAGCCTGGAAAAGTTGCTTTTTGTAGGGGGGGATTGTAAAGCTACTACACAGAAAGAAGGTATAGCTAGCATGCATTTTCCAGCATACAAAGTGAAAAAGAGCATGTCCCTGACATGACAAAATTGCTAGAACATGTTGAAAATCAAATAAAATACTATATATTGATAATAATAAAACTATTTTTTTACTTAAATAGGTGTGGAGGGCTATCAGCATCTCTGTCTAAATTAATATGATAATTATCAGCTTTCACATTAACAAGGGCTCAATGCAACATGAATTAATTCACACGGAAAATATTTATTAAACTTCTATGTTGTTTTAGGGTGTGATGTTACAGCATTGATCAGGATACAAATAAAAACAAAACAAAATCAACAACAAAAATCTACCCTCTCTTATGGAGCGTATAGTCCAGTTAGCAGGATATATAATTCAGAAGGCATTAGGTAGTGATAACTGTTTATTGCCAAAGGTCTATGAAGGAAAATAACTCTACCAATCCAATTCCTAAACCTCTCCTTGAAGTACATCTGAGGAATTGTTTCCAATTTTGGACTATGAGGAATAAGCCTACTGAGAACATTCATGTTTAGGAATTTGTGTGAACATAAGTGCTGTCAAGTCAAAATGGGGTCCTCAAGACCACACTTTGGTTGATTGAATGACTCTCTAGAAGGACTCACAGAACTCCAAGAAGCTGACCCGGCTAAGTTCAAATGGATACTGCATTGCTCAAGGACTCCACCGTAGATCACTGTTGTTATCATAAACTGCCCAAGGTCCCAGCTACAGGGGCCACACTATAAAGGCCAGTCTTTTCAAGTTGACTGTACCATTCTCCATGACTTCCACCAATATGGGAGTGACCTGGTTTCTTCACAACCTTACCAGCATTTGATATGTTCTAATATTTTTTTAAGGCACTGTGATAGATGTGTCATAATATCTCACTATGATTTTAATTTATATTTCTACAAAACAGCTAATGTCTTCTCATGTGCTTATTTATCACCCTGAAACTCTTCTTTAGTGAAATGCCTGTTTCATGTCTTTGGTCTATTTTGTAAGCAATTTTTTTTTCATTAAATAATATGATTGTGTTTAGAGGGTTCCTCACACCTTCCTGTTTGATATGTGATTTCCAAATATTTTCTCCAAGTCTGTATTTTTTTCAAGACAGTCTCACTCTGTTGCCCTGTATAGAGTGCCATGGTGTCAGCCTAGTTCACAGCAATCTCAAACTACTAGGCTCAAGTGATCCTATTGCCACAGCCTCCTGAGTAGCTGAGACTACAGGCACACACCACAACATCCAGCTAATGTTTCTATTTTTAGTAGAGACTGGGTCTTGCTCTTGCTCAGGCTGCTCTCTAACTCCTGGGCTCGAGCAATCCTCCTGCCTCAGCCTCCCAGAGTGTTAGGATTACAAAGGTGCACTGGCCTCCCAGTCTGTATTTTGTTATTTTATCCTCTTAAGAGTCTTTCACAGAGCCTGAGTTTTTAATTTTGATAATTTCCCAGCCTCCAGAAATGTGAAAATACATTTCTGTTGTTTGTAAATCACCAAGTGTATGGTATTTTGTGATAGCAGCCTGAATGAACAACACAAGGTATAAACATAGAATTACTGAATTAAATATGACATGTGATTTACAGCAATTGGCTACAGCTTGCTATCTCTTAATCTGAATCTGCATCACATTTAAAATGTACTATGCTACTTTTAAGTTATTAGTTGAATAAGTAATCAAATCAGCCTTTGAAGTATACAAAGGAAAAATAAAATTGTCATAGATTTTGATTCTCAGAAACATTTTCTACATTTCCCACCAAAAGCCACATTTTCCCAAAATTAGTTTGCTGACTCACACAATGAAATACCTTGATTTGCTTCATATTGGATTTTGTAAATAATATACATGCTTTGCTTTTTAAAGTGACAGCCATGGTGTAGGTTGTTCCATAAAAATGCAATAAGAAATAAGTAAAAAAAAAAAAACCCAGAAAATTATTTTTTTAGTACTATATGACTTCTTCTTATCATTCCATCATTCTCCTACCCTATAATTACATCAGAATGTTCAGGTAAAAATAAATACATCATTGTTTATCATAATTAACAATGTGAGGGACTTTGCTCATATTAGTTGCAGGGACAAATATCTCTGAAAGGTATACTTCAATGAATGACTCAATCACTTTTATAACTTCAGTTGAACTAAAATAGAAGTGTGATTGGAGGAAAATGGGCCTACTAGGAATTTCAACAATTTCTTTTCTTTTTGCATTTTTCTCTCCAAAAGCTTGTTCTATGTACACCGGGAAAGGAGTCCCAAGCATTCTGTGTGGCAGTGCCCTACTGGCCATGTTGGGCCAAGAATAGATAATGGACCTAGAGAATGAGCCAATCAGATATTCTGTGTTTTAAAATTAGAAACCTAAGACAAATGGTATTGAACATACTTCCAACTTCGCATGATATTACTTCTTTGTTTCTGATGCCTAGGAACTGAGGCTGGAAGGGAGGTGTGGCATTAGCCTTAGGACAGTAGAGGTACTACAGTGTAGTGGTTGGAATCATAGGCTGGAGAGCCAGAGAGCTTGGGGTTGGATCTCAGCTTTGCTACATCCTAGCTAGATGACCTTGAACAATTTGTTTTATTACTCTTGTTCTCATTTCCTTTATTTTGAAAAAGACATCATAACAAATTCTTCACCATTTGGTTATGGTTTGAATTTTACTAAACATAAGTGAGTTATATATTGAAAGCATCCAGCACATTTTTAACAGCATTACTTACTGCTTATTATTAATACTGGGGAAATTGAACTTCAG